TTATTCTTATAGAGCCATAGAGCAGGCATAGATAAATAAATAAATACAATAGAGAAATAGAAAAAAGACAACTAAATAAATAAATAAATAAATTAACTAATTAATTAATTAATTAATTAATTAATTAATTAAAATAAATAAATAAATAAATAAATAAATAAATAAATAATTACCTGGCTCCTGCTCCTTATTCTTATAGAGCCAGAAAGTTTACCATTTAAATATCTTTGTAGACTAACATTTGCTAATGCGTCTTCCCCTATAAATAAATAAATAAATAAATAAATAAATATAAATAAATAAATAAATAAATATAAATAAATAAATAAATATAAATAAATAAATAATATTAATTATATTTATTTTATTTATTTATTTAATTATATTGTATTTTATTGGATATGTCTACTGTCTCCTTTTGTACAAATGTCTCTATTTATCTTAATTAATTAAATTAATTAATTAATTAATTAAATTAATTAATTAATTAATTAAATTAATTAATTAAATTAATTAATTAAATTAATTAATTATATTAATTAATTATATTAATTAATTTAATTAAATTAGGGTTTAGGGTTTAGGGTTTAGGGTTTATTTACCAAATACAGATCTTGAGTATAAATTAACAGAGAAGACACAACACTCTCTTGCTAGCATTTGTAGCTCAGGTAGCTGCTGCAGTTGCTGCTGCTGCTGCTGCTGCTGCAGTAGGTCTGCAGTAGTACCATCTCCTGCTGCTGCTGCAACAGCAGCAGCAGCAGCAGCAGCAGCAGCAGCAGGAGTAGATGCAGCAGGATGCGCACCTACTATTGCCATGTTTGTTGCCTTTAATAATAAATCAAGGAAAGAAGGAATATCCCTACAAATAAATAAATAAATAAATAAATAAATAAATAAATAAATAAATATAAATAAATAAATAAATATAAATAAATAAATAAATAAATATAAATAAATAAATAAACAAATAAATATAAATAATAATAAAAAGGAAAAAGAAAAAAAAAGATAAATAAGAAGGAACAAAAAAGTAAGGAAAAAGGAAGAAAAAAAGAAGAAAAAAAAAGGAGAAAAAAGAGGAGAAAAGGGGAGAAAAGAAGGTAAATAAGGTATAGAAAAGAAGATAAATACAAGAAGAAGAAGAATATAATTAATATAAAACCCTAAAAAAGTGTTTATAAACCCTAAAAAAGTGTTTATAAACCCTAAAAAAGGGTTTATAAACCCTAAAAAAGGGTTTAAAGAAAAACGTACAAATTGGGTATAGAAATAAATAATACGAGAAAAAGAAGAAAAAAAGGAGGAAAAAAGGAAAAAGAGGCAAATAAGGTATAGAAAGGAAGATAAGAACAAGGAGAAGAAGAATATATAAATATAATACCCTTTTTTAGGGTATATAAACCCTAAAAAAGGGTTTAAAAAAAAAAAAGCTTACAAATTAGGTATAGAAATAAATAAGAAGAAAAAAGGGAGGAAAAAAAGGAAAAAGAGGCAAATAAGGTATAGAAAGTAAGATAAGAACAAGGAGAAGAAGAATATATAAATATAAAACCCTAAAAAAGGGTTTATAAACCCTAAAAAAGGGTTTAAAAAAGAAAAAAAAAGCTTACAAATTAGGTATAGATATAAATAATTTATTCTCCCATTCGAAATCAATCCATTTTTTACGAAATGTTTGTAAGTCAATAAAAGAGGGAATAATAAAAGGGAGCATATCTACCCCTACTTCTGCTAATACAGCATATTTCCTGCTGCTGCTGCTGCTGCTGCTGCTGCTGCTGCTGCTGCTGGTGGTGGTGGTAATTGTGCTGCTGCTGCTGGTGGTAGTCGTAGACTCATAGGATACAACACCAAAAAGAACTGCACCCTCTGCTGTCTGCAATTTTAGCGAACAGCAACAACTTGCATCACCATAAGGAGATAATGTTAGGGGACCAGGTACCTCTACTACTCTTACGCTACCTATAAATAAATAAATAAATAAATAAATATATAAATAAATATATAAATAAATATATATGTTAATTAATTAATTATATTCATTATTTATTTATTTATTTATTTATTTATTTATTTATTTATTTATTTTATTTATTGGGTATTTTTATATAAATGTTTAATTAATTATTTAATTAATTATAAATATAAATATAAATAATATAAATATAAATAAATAAAATAAATAAATAAATAAATAAAATAAATAAATAAATAAATAAATAAATAAATAAATAAATAAATAACCTTGAGGGGAGAGCTCAATCTGTACATTATAAGGAGAGTATATGTTGCTCAATTAATTAACAAAATATATAAATAAATACATCAATAAATACACCAAAAAAAGGAGAAAATAAACAAATAAATAAATAAATAAATAAGTAAACTAATTAATTAATTAATTAATTAATTAATTAATTAAATTAATTAGTTAATTACCTTGAGAGGAGAGCTCAATTTGTACATTAAATAGTGTATATTTGTGTTCTATGAATAT